CGTTTCATTAAGAATTTCTCTGCCGTTATTACACCGATCACTGAACTTACACATAAAGGGACTCCTTTTCAGTGGTCCAATAAGGCTGACACTGCATTTTCCAGATTAAAGACTCTGTTTACATCTGCCCCTATCTTGGTACATCCTCAGCCAGAATTGCCATTTACTGTAGAGGTAGATGCTTCTGATTCAGCTGTTGGGGCTATACTGTCTCAAAGGACTGGACCTAAGATGTTGTTACATCCATGTGCCTTCTATTCCCGCCAGATGTTACCAGCAGAAAGAAATTATGACATAGGGAATAAAGAACTTTTGGCTATAAAAGCTGCCTTCGCCGAATGGAGACGTCTCTTGGAGGGAGCCACCCATCCAATTACTGTCCTCACAGATCACAAAAATCTGAAATGTATTCAATCCGCTAAGAGACTGTCAGCCAGACAAGCACGCTGGTCCATATTTTTCTCAAGGTTTAATTTTTTTATTTCATACCGCCCTGGTTCCAGAAATGGCAAGGCGGATGCCTTGTCTAGGATAGCTGACCCCCTCCATACTACAGTAACCAAGGCCACCATCTTGCCAGAGAGCAGATTTTTAGGAGTTACCTTTCCTTCTGATGTAATGTCTCGCATTAAAAAGGGCTACTCTAAAGATCCAGTTTTTCGGGATCCTCCTCGTGATCTTCATATGACTATGCTTAATGGGTTTTGGATTTTTCAATAACGTCTGTTTGTTCCAGAATCAGTGCGACTGGACGTTTTACGCCTCTACCATGACTCTAAACCAGCAGGTCATCCAGGAATCCGAAAGACACAAGAACTACTTACCCGATCCTTTTGGTGGCCTAAATATTATGAGGATGTTAAGAAGTATGTGTCCTCTTGTGATGTATGTGCCAGACATAAGACTCCTCGCTCATCCCCTGTTGGCTTGCTTCAGCCTCTCTGATTCCTCATCGTCCCTGGGGATCTATATCCATGGACTTTATTGTGGAACTACCTCCCTCTAAGGAACACACTACCATTCTTGTTGTTGTGGACTGGTTAACTAAGATGAGTCATTTCATACCAGCTTGTGGTCTCCCTTCAGCTAAACAGACTGCTGACCTTGTTATTCGGGAAATATTTTGCTTGCATGGAGTGCCTGATGAAGTAATTTCTGACAGGGGAGTGCAGTTTACATCTAATTTTTGGAAATATTTTTGTTCTATTCTAGGTATTAATGTAAATCTGTCTTCAGCTTTTCATCCACAAAATAATGGACAGACTGAGCGAACCAACCAGACTTTAGAACAATATTTGCGGTGCTATATTAGTTACCAACAGGATGACTGGCTGGATTTTTTACCCATGGCGGAGTTTGCCTATAACAATGCCCAACACTGCTCCACTTCTCTGAGCCCATTTTTTGCCAATTATGGTTACCATCCAACCTTTCTAGTGAGTCTCCCAATTACTACTCCCATTCCTGCAGTCACTGACCGGCTAACCGCCTTACGAGATTCCCAAGAACTGTTGAAGGAGACTCTTTCGGAGGCTCAGGAATGTTACAAAAGAGCTGCTGATAGGCACAGAAAGGAGGCCCCAGTTTATCATGTTGGTGACAAGGTTTGGCTGTCAACAAAGAATCTTAAGCTTAGGATTCCTTCTCATAAATTGGGTCAAAAGTTCATGGGACCTTTTGAGATAATCGCTCAGATCAATGCAGTCACCTTCTGTCTGCAACTTCCGGATTCCATGATAATACATCCGGTGTTTCACGTGGCACTGCTTAAACCTTTTCATGAAAATACTTTCCCTGGTCAAGCCTTGCCTGCCCCACCACCAGTCCTCGTGGATGGTGAAGATGAATACGAGGTGGAAAAAATTCTTGACTCCAGGATCTTCCGCAACAAGCTTCAATATTCGGTTCATTGGAAAGGCTATGGTGAGGAGGATAGATCGTGGGAACCAGTGGACAATATTCATGCTCCTGATCTTCTTCAGTCTTTCCATGCACAGTAACCTGCTAAACCAGGAAATAGGGCATCCAGAGGCTGCGCCTGTAGAGGTGGAGGTAATGTGAGGAACTGACTCTGCTGGGTTTCGAACCCTGGTTTACATGGTGCTAAACCTCTTCCTTACCAGTACACCAGCCTGCCTTTTGCAAATTTACCTGAGATCTGATACCATTGCTTGTAGAGTCAAGGTTATCAGTGACAACTCTCTTCAGCTGTGTCTGGTCAGGTGTCTGGTTCTTGGCCTATAAAAGCCACTTCCTGTCTCTGTACCTTTGCCAGATTATTGTGGTTCCTGTACTCTCTAATCAAGCGTGTTCCTGTTTCTCCTTCCTGTTGCTGAATTTGGACTGTTTTGACTTTGCTGCTTCTCCTTCCCACTGACCTCGGCTTGCCTCACTACGATTATCATCTTTCTGTTCCAGTCTCCCATCTCTGCTTAAGACCAGAAGGCCACTCAAGGCTCAGGGGCTCAACCACCTGGGTAACGAGTGGCTACCTCTGGCAGAAAACATTGCTGATCTGGCTACTGGACTCCAAAACTTTGTAACATCAATATCATTACAGCCTCCTTGACCGCCTCAGCCAATCCTATGGGGAAGCATTGTGATTGGCTCAGACCACCACTTATGATGATGTCATCAGACAGCAGGCAGGTCAGAGGCAGACAGGAGCAGAGACAGCAACTGCAGACTTGAATACAAGTAAGATGTTACTATATTTAGGTAGGCAAGGGGATGCCAGGGGAAAACGGGGAGCTAGATGGTGGTTTTAACAGTGTAGGGTCAGAAATACATGTTTGTGTTTCTGACCCTATAGCAGGGGTAGGCAACATACGGCACTAGTGCCATACAAGGCACTCGAGGTGTCTTTGCACAGCACTCAAGGCTGCTAGAGCCAAACAGGCTCTGGCCTATCAGGAGTCCCAGTAAAACTTCAGATATCTGCTAATCCGAAAAGGTGGTGAAGGACAATCCTCAATTTATGCATTGCAGCACATTGAGGAACTGATCTTATATCACTTCCTCCCAGCACTTGTGAATAGGCATCCACACTGTAGTAGAGCAGCTCACAGTTGCTGTTGCAGCTCCTGTCCTTGACATGTACCTGGCCAGCCTGGTCCCCACTGGAACCCACCCACACTGCTAGATGTACACAGAAATGCAGAATAACCCTCCCCTCAGACAAATAATGTGGACAGCCCACACACAAACATGCACTCAATCCGCACAAACGAAACACCACTAACAATCCACATACATGCACACAACCCCACATGCAATACCCCAAACAGCCCACACACACTACCAAGCACACACTGTGACATATCCATTCACACACACACACACAATTCCACAAGCAGCCCCCATACACAGCCCACATTCATATGTGTCATACACAATACCATAAACTACTCATGAACATATACAATATAATAGCTCATATATGCAGGGCCGTCTTTAACGCTGGGTAAACTGGCCAGCTGCACCGTGAGCCCTGCTGGCCTCAACTATTTCTAACCCTCTGGCCGGTAATCCGTGACCCATGCACAAAGGACCACCCGGTGGGCTTCTGTCTGCACGGGCCCGGTCGCACGCTGAGGCGCTTTAACAGCGCGAGCGGGCCCCTTGCTTTTCGGCAGCAGGCTGGGAGGAAGTGACGGCCGTGCATCACTTCCTCCCACAAAGAGAGGAGCGCGCGGGAAAGAAGAGAAGGCAGATTGGAGGGGGGCTGGCCGAGAGCGCTAGACCCCATCTCCCAACACCTTCAGCCACCAGCATGAAAGGTAGGAAACTGGAGGGTGGGTTTTAAAGTGTATGTCTATGTCAGTATGTCTATCAGTGTGTGTGTGTGTTAGTATGTCTGTGTGTGTCAGTATGTCTTTGTGTGTCAGTATATCTGTGTGTGTGCGCATTTCAGTGTGTATATATCTGTGTGTGTGTGTTTATATGTGCATACATCTCAGCATTCACACACTAACACTGCACACAAATACACCCCTGCATTCAAATTTCAACACTACGTACAAACAAGTCTGTGATACACATCAAAATTATATGTAAATACACCCCTGCATTCAAATACCAACACTACACAAATACATGCTTGCAATCACGCCAACACCACATACAAACATATTCCATACAAAAACCTGTTTACATTCAAACACACAAAAAACTCCTTAGTGCTAAATACAGACCTGCAAACATGGGTAAATGGTAGAGCCCCAGCTGTCAATGCATTTCTGGAGTTACACGACAGATGGGGATCTACCTTTTAATCACCCATGCAACAGGGAGACGGCCCTGCATATACGCACAAATACAAAAATACAAAGCAATTACAGTAAAAATAACACAAGCAGAATACGGCAGCAAACACCCCTCGATTTAAAAAATAAATAAAAAAATAGGACAAGCACGCTGCGGGACATCACAATCCTATATCGGCACAGTGCTGCTAAAAGGTTGCCTACCCCTGCCCTATAGTGTTCCTTTAACGTCAAATATAGTAATATGCCCATCTATGGCATTATGCCCTGTAACAAAAGAAATTCGTTTTGAATCCCCACCTTAGAGAAGATGTCTGAGTTAAAGGGACACTATAGTCACCAAAACTACATTAGCTTGGGGGCGGGGCCCGACTGCCATGGAGGGAAGATGTGCCTCGCTAGAGCTCCCTACGAAAATTGGATAAATGGCTAAAAAGGCACTCTTTAAATCACCACATGAGACCTCAAGCGACTTACCTCCTCCAAGTCCCCATGGTGAACCGGTAAAGTGGCCTGTGAGCGGACGTGGGCCAGCAGATTACACCCGCGAGGGCATGCGGCCCGGCATGGGCTGGGTGGGAGTGACGGCCGACCTCCCAATCTGGAGCCATCCGAAGACTAAAAGCCACAAATGGGCACCCCGCAACCCCCCCCTTGGACTGGTGGGGGTGATCCCGGTCCACCCCAAGGGGTCCCCCCGGACACAGAGCTAATGCCGGAAAGAATGGCAAAAAAATGGCGGAGACCATGTGGCCCCCAGGCAACCATGATGCCCAGCTCTTCCCCAGGTCCAACCTGGACCGCATATTCATAGACTTTTGGCTTAAATTCGAGCAAAGAATGCAACAAAGCCAAACTCATCCACCCAGCTCAAGCCACCCTTCTCGACAACAGCCTCCTGATCCTCAACAAAGGAAAGCTGCACCGGCGGAACACACAACAAGAAAATGGCGGTGGAGTGGTAAGCGTGTACCCCACACACGCAGAGCAACAATGCGAAGGACACCACAGAAACAAAGCACAGGCCCGCTCTGGGCACCCGCAGCCACAGGGACGACTCCACGAGGACACCAAGGTACCAACCATCCCCTCTCACTCCCGATTACTTACCGCACCCAGTGGGAGATCCAAATGCATTCACAGCAGGGAACAGCACAGCCTCAGCTAGGCATCGGTGAACTGGCAAGGACGCACCGAAAGAAGAGTTCTGCAACTGGGAGACCGAATAGGTCATAAGGCACACGAGATCTGAGGGATTCGATCTTCTGAAAGCCAGCCCGGCCAGAGAGGGACTCATTCCTGGGGGACCCCAGCGGACTTTACTGTAATATCGTGTCCCACACTAGACATACACAAGTTTGGTCTGCTTACTAAATTTTTATTATGTGTTTTTGTCTTCATACCAAGCAAGTAACGTGACCTAGTGCTGCCCAAACCAACAGCTAGACTAAGGGCAAGTTAAATGTTACACATAAGTTGAGAGTAGAGATTAATTGCTTTAACTGCTCTAATGGCTCTAAAAGATATGCATTGTACCACAAGGATATTACTAGGCCTGCTTAGCTGAGAAAGGACCCAACACTACCCAATTACTTAGCGTATTGTTTAAACATAATTAACTTCTGCATAAACTCTTGAATACTCCAATTTTAAAAATGTTGAAAAGCAGCGTGGGGAATGCCGTTGGGGTACCACACGCATGCTGTTATATACTTCTTTGCACTGCAAAAAAAATAATAAAAAAAAAAAAAAACTACATTAGCTTAATGAAGCAGTTTTTGTGTATATATAATTCCCCTGCAATCTCACTGCTTAATTCACAGCCATTTAGGAGTAAAATTTCTTTTGTTTCTGTTTATGCAACCCTAGCCACATCTCCCCTGGCTGTTACTGATGCAGCCTGCATAAAAAAAAAAAATGGTTTAATTTTCAACCAGATGTTAACTTACTTTAATTTTTTTTATCTCTTGCTCTGTAAATTGAACCTTAATCAAGCATGGAAGGTTCTTGCAGGCTCTAGCAAACTATGAATAGAGCATCAGATAAGAGAATCTAAATTGAACACAATTTGCAATAGAGGAAGTGTAAACATTAGATACAGGAAGTGTTTAGAAAGGCTGTCTACGTCACACACAGGAAGGTGTGACTAGGGCTGCATAAACAAAGTGATTTAACTCCTAAATAGCAGAAAATTGAGCTGTGATACTGCAGAGCCATGATCTATACACCAAAACTGCTTAATTGAGCTAAAGTTGTCCCTTGAGGTACACTTGTGAAGCATGCAGAGCCTGGCATTACTGACGGATGGTGCCAAGAATATTGTGTAAAAAAATCTGAACAGAAGTTCAAAAATTATATAAAAGAACAACAAATATATAAAACAAATAACAGTATGTGTATATTTACCATACTGGGTTTCTCACTTCTGGATTTCTTCTTTTAGTCTAAATTTTGGTGTCCTGATTACAGCTTCTGTCTCACTTTAGCTACAGTTTACCTGTAGAGTTGTCGCGAACCGTCCGCGAACTTCCCGCAAACGGTTTGCCGCGGTTCGCCACAAACCGTTCGTGGCAAACTCCGGTCAGCTGACACATCCCGGCCAATATCCAGCAGACCCTCCCTCCCAGACCCTCCTACTTCCTGGACAGCATCCATGTTGAAGGCAGCTTCAACATGGACGCTGTCCAGGAGGTGGGAGGGACTGGGAGGGAGGGTCTGCCGGAGATTGGCAGGGATGTGTCAGCTGACCGGAGTTCAACCGTTCGCGGGAAGTTCGCGGACGGTTCGCGACATCTCTATTTACCTGTGGTTGGAACATCTCTTTGTGGAACTCATGTTAGGTATGACCACCTTTGAGACTTGGTAATATGATACTACTTCTAACATTTCTGCATAATGGGGCCAGTTCTCAGTATCCTTCCAAAAACACACCACAATACCTAAACTTTCCTCTGAATCTTTGAGATAACATTGCAATGATTCTTTCTTAGGCAGAGAATATGTAGATTAGAAGCAGCCAAGCTAAGCAACTAATTGTTTTGTCTTTTTAAAATAATGCCCACCTAAGCAAAAAAGACTGCCAAGTAAATCGAAAACACAACATTTAAAAGTTTACCTTGTTTCTTTCTCAGTTGATAGCCCGATGAAATTTATAATTATTACACTTTTTCCAATAAAAGCTATTGAGATAGGGAGGTAAATTAAGCTAGCGTTGATAGAAGAGTTTGTCCCTGAGAAACAGCATTTACACTTTTTTGCTGATGTTTCTGTCTGCGTTACTGATTGTTAATAACTTGCCGTCTTGGCCTCGGTGGCACAATCCAATTGGAAGCTTCACATGACAACACATCTAATGAAAAGAAAATGATTACATTTTTTGAGGGCACAAATATAACAGCTATGTTAAGCTGAAAAGGAATTGTAAAATGTTATTGATTTACTATTTTGTGATCGATACGAAAAAGAATAATTCTTACTGTCCTGAAGAAATGGTCCTTGGACAGTATTCATCTTTTTTTCTCTTCCGGACAAGTGGGATTATTGTCAGCAAAATATACATCAAAAACACATAATTTATTTCAAATTGTCCTTTTGTATAGTTGATTTTTTAGGTTTCTGTTACTTTTCAGTGATTGTGTATGTGAATCCTGTACAATTGAATGAATCTAGGAGAATTAGGAATTAGTCTATATTACAAGATTGTATTTAATATGTATAATGTTGTATGCTTGGTACATAGGTGATATGTTTGTTTAATTGGGGATATGTTAGCTACTGTAGCTGAATCCAACTCCCCGGTAAAACTCGCTTTCAATTACAGTTGTGAAAAAAAATTAAATTTTTGAATCTAGAATTTTTTGAGGGACATTTACAATATACATGATTTAGAAAAACCCATTGATATAAATACATTATTGCATGCGGGTAGTCTACATCCACAGCAAACGGTTAATGAGCAATTACTGGATTTCTGGCAAGAGGCTTTAAAAGAATCCTGTTACCATATGCAAACTGAAAATAGATTTTAAATTAATTTTGAATTGCTGGTATATTTAAAATTGCAGATATGTTTACAAATGTGAATCCTATGTCTGTTTATCCATGAAAAGTTCTCAACAATGCTGGAGGGATAACTTGATGTAATTCATTCAGATACACCTTTTGAAATAACAATTTGTGATATGCCACTTATGCCTATTGATATGCTTTTTTACCAAAATATATATCTCCAAAAAATATTATATAAATATATAACAAAAATCTAAATGTCAGTCTAAACTAATAACATCACATTATCTTCAAATTTACAGAAAAAAACTAAGATTCTAACAAGTAGGACCAGAAGGGATTCAAGACAGAAAAATAAAAACGATAAAACAAACAAACTTTCATAGTTAATTTATGTAATTTATTAAATACTTTAAAAAGAACAAATCCTTATAATGAATCAAAAGTGATTATGTGAAAACATATAGGCTGTGTTATGCTGCTCGGATGATCTGCCTTTAGAAGAAGCAAAAGCTGCAAAAAACAAAACGCTGATAAAGGAAAGGAAGACTGGAATGTTGTATAATCCTTCTCTCACCACCAATACTTCCAATTGGTATCCTTTTGAGAGAAATCCACTCTGCGTTGTGTTTTAATAGTGAATGTAATATCCCTGTGTAACCTCTTCCAAGAACTAACATATATCTTTATCCCCTTGTCCAGATAAATATATGACTAGCACTACTAAGGTATTCTACCCAATATTACAAATAAACAGCCAACACCATAGTTCTTACCAGAGAGAAATCTTTACTTAGAATCTGCCCAGTTGAATATTACAGAAGAAGAATGTTACCGAGTTATAGTATAACAGTTACAATACATTCATAACACTCATACATTCCATCTATCTAATACTATCTGCTACATTGCGTATAATAATATCTGCTACATTGTGTATAATATTGGCTACATTGTGTATGTGCTGTGCATGTTATGGGCAGCTTGTGTGTCTTACCAAAACCTAATCTAATGTGATGTCAGTATCTTCTATTTTTAAAGGAATTGGTTCCCATGTTGTAAATAGCCAATTCCTCAGCTCAATTTGACATGGAAATGTGATTTCCTTTCCCAAGGCCCAAAGTGTTGTCTATCCTGTTATTTTATTTAAGTGTTAACTTTCCCAGCCATCCCTTTGTCTCTAACCCAATGTGTGTTTTCCTATATAGGGACTCCTTTGAAGACCAGTTGATATGTAAATGTGATTGGTGCCTTTCAGGTGCTGTATCTTTCCAACTATCTAAACAGAAACTCCCTTTGAAGATAATTCCTGACCTCCCATACACACAGACTCAATCAAGCACATATTAAACAGATATATACATAATATTTTCCCCAACATGGAAGAGGTATATATAACCTAAACCTCTAACTAAAAAAATCCTTGAAATATAGCACTTAAACTTTAACAGAGAATTAATAAAGTAGCAAACAGAAGCATGTAAGTATGGGTGCTCTCTGTCTGCCAGAGATTCCCCTTCCAGTGGTCAGACTCTAGTGCAGGGGTAGGCAACCTTTCAGCAGCACTGTGCCGCTATAGGATTGTGATGTCCCGTAGCGTGCCGGTCCTATTTTTTTTTTTTAAATTGAGGTGTGTATGCTGCTTGTGTTATTTATACTGCAATTGCTTTGTATCGTTGTATTTGTGCGTATATGGCTATTATATTGTATATGTTCATTAGTAGTTTATGGTATCGTGTATGATACATATGAATGCGGGCTGTGTATGGGGGCAGCTTGTGGAATTGTGTGTGTGGATGGATATGTCACATTGTGTGTTTGGTAGTGTGTGTATGTGTGGGGGCTGTTTGGGGTATAGCATGTGAGAGGCTGCATGTGGATTTGTGTGCATGTATGTGGATTGTTAGTGGTGTTGCGTTTGTACAGATTGTGTGTATTTTTTTGTGTGAGCTG